TCAGGAGCCAATTCCACATCTTTAAATTCCTTTTCTATTACATATTAGAAAATCTCTTCCAACATCTGATATATCAAATTGTACTTAAAAAAATGCTGACTTTTAAATTCACTAAGTTCTATTTTTACTAGAAATAATAGACTAGCTCCAAAAATGTTGCCATAGAAGGTGGATGAGACATTGCTATCATTTTGAAAATAAACAATAAATGTATTTTATTAAAATGTTTTCCTATAGGGGGAAAAAAAAGAGCAGGAGGTCATTGGAAGGAGAATAGATGGTTAGGGACTAAAGATCATTTTGAACTTAGTAGCCATTTAAATCCAGTTAACTTAGTCCTTCTTCCTCTGAGCATCACACTTATAAGACCTGCTAAGCAATTCCTAGTCAAATCTGGATAATTAAATATCCAAAACATGAACTCACTTTTACTTTTATTTTTCCTAGGGGACAAAAATCCTCGTCTCTAGGAACATGGAAATTCTTTTATTATGACCCCATTAGTCAGAGCACGGTTTGCAATTCAAAAATTTAGAAACATCCTAAATATCCATCCGCAGGAAAAGCGTAAGTAAATGCTGATCTAGCCGTGATCCCGTGCTCCACACCAGCCACGGAGATGACTGGAGCCCTGTGCTTAGTGAGGATCCATCTCACAATGTGGAGGGGGAAAGCAAGATGCGGAGAAGGATTCCATGCAGTTAAAAGTTGAAACATGCACAACAATGCTATGTCTTGATTCCGGATATCTACATGTAAGACAAGAAGAGGAGTAGAAAAAATAGACATGCTTCCAAATGCAATGTACCCGATTCAGGAGGATGGTCCATCTGGGAAAGGGAGCAGAAAGGAACCGATGTCAGGAGAGTACCCAAGGGACAGTATGTGCAGGGTTGTATTTCTCGAAAAATAAATATGTAGAAAATAGGAGAAAATATTAGGATTTGTTAGAGCGGAATGGTGGGCATGTGGGGCTTTGCTATTACCCCCTGTATTTTTCTGTATGTTTAAAATATTTCATGATTTAAAAAATGGGTTCCCTATTTTCCACTGGCTGAGGAAACTGTGTCTTCAAAATGCACTACCGTTGAGCTGATAGGGAAACAACTGATTTTGAAAGATGCTACGTGGGGGGCTCCTGGCTGACTCGTTGGTGGAGTGAGTGACTCTTGATCTCAGAGTCGTGAGTTTGAGCCCCAAGTGGGGTGCAGAGATTACTTAAAAAAAAAGAAAGGAAGGAAGGAAGGAAGATAAAAGACATGTGGACCCAACAAAGAAGGTCCAGAGAATGAATCAAGATAACTGCACCCTGATTATGCTTCAGGCACATCATAACTCTATAATTTTAGGCACCTGTTTGAACCTCAATGTCTTCATCTGTGAAATGGGGGTAATCTCTCTTGCCTACTTCACAGGGAGGTAGTGAGAGTAAATGAGGCTATAATAACTGGAGCAAGAAGGGGTTGTTGGAATAATTGCTACTAATGACTGAGCAGTTACTGTATTTTCGAACAGGCAGTAAACATTCATTATTTTAAGGCTGATAACAACTCTATGAGGTAGGTATTATTTTCTATGTGTTTTATTTTTCATGTGAAAAAAAGAGTAAGGCTCAGAGGCAGACAGTTTTCCCATGTTCCTCCCTTCAGAACCAACCCCCGCCGAGAGGGAATGGGTAGTGAGGTCTTGGAAATGCAGAGTCCAATGGCGGCAGAAACCCAAGTCAAGAGAGGCTGCTTCGGCAGGGTGGACGTGTCTAGGGGACACCACTGGCCCATATGTGACTGAAGTTGGGATTTTGTGGAAGTTATGTATCAGCAGAGGCCAGGAAGCAAGGTGGTGTTGGCCAGTGATGAGTAGGAACTACGGGAGGGAAATTCTAGATGTTCAGTACAGAAGCCCAGTTCTTTCCTTTCAAACCTACAGCACCCACAGCCTTCCCCAGTGACTCGATGGCAACTCCACTTTCCAGCTGCTCAGGGCAAAGTCCTTAGAGTCATTTTGACTTCTCTGCTTTTTTCATATCCCATGTCCAACACGTCAGATAATTCTGTTGACTTTATTCAAATTACAACCAGAACTGGACAACCTCATGCTGCCTCTACTATAGCCTGGTCTGAGCCACCAGCATCCTGAGCTTGGATTATCACACTGGCTTTAAAAAAAAAAAAAAAAAAAAAAAGATTTTATTTTTAAATAATCTCCACATCCAGTGTGGGGCTTGAATCCACAACCGTGAGATCAAGACTTATACCTTCCACCAACTGAACCAACCAGGCGCCCCATCACACTGGCTTTTTAATTGGTCAGTTCACAACCAGAAGTGAGAGTGATGTTTTTTTATTTCTTACCATTTTTAAAAAATTGTGTTTATTTATTTGAGAGAGAGAGAGAGCACGAGCAGGGAGCAGGGGCAGAGGGAGAGGGAGAGAGAGAATCTCAAGCAGACTCCACACTGAGCATGGAGCCCGACGAAGGGCTCTACCCCAGGACCCTGAGAGCACGACCTGAACCAAAACCAAGAGTCTGACGCTTAACCAGCGGCGCCACCCAGGAGCCCCGAGAGTGATTTTTTTTTTTTTAATATGTCAGATGTTTATCTGAAAGGACACACCTCAAAGCCTTCCAAAGCCTCCATATTTACGAGCACCCTCACCCTCTCTGGCTTTGTCACCTTCCATTCTCCCCCAGGTCCATTCTGTTCCAGCCTTCAGAGCTTCCCTGCATTCCGCAAACCTTGGTGAGGCCTTCCCCACTCCCAGTTCCATGCTCCACTCCTCCACTTTCGCTCCCTTCCCGTGTCTCTCCAATGCCTCTACCACCCGTGAAGTTTCCCCCTACTCTAGGACTTACTAATTTGGGGTATAGCCTGTCTCCCACACTAGACTATAAGCTCTATGTGGGCAGGAACTTTGGTCAGTTCCATTTATTGTGTTCCCAGGACCTAGAACAGGGTCTGAGAACAAATGTCTGTTGAATGAATGAATGAATGAATGAATGAACAGATTATTCTCCTTCTACAAGAGAATCTCTCTCTCCACCAGCCTGGAAGACCTTGTAGACACCATACATTCCCTTTCCAACTGGCCCTGTGCCATCCACAGCCCCAGACACATCTACAGTGTGGGTGTGGGGAGCAAAAGGGGGGTTCATCCCGTCGCTTTAGCCAGACAATTCCTACCGCTCTTAAAGTCACGCATGGTTTTATTTGTTCAAACACATTGCAGATGTCTTCAGTAGCCTCTGGTTGGGAGGGTAGCTATCACTTCCGAAACAACCCCTTGGGCTGGCATGTGACTTTTCTTCTGAAAGATTTGCATCAGTGGGAAGGTAGAGGCAGTAGGAGAGACCAGAACAGGAAAGAAACAGCTGGGAAAAACAAGGTCTCAGGATCGTGTCTGGGATGGTCTGTACGTTGTCAGATTATGGCCGGGAGCCCTTGGGTGCCGAGGTAGAACACACGGTGCTTCGCATCGGTGTCTGATAAGATGACCCCATGAGAGAGCGGAAACGATGAGGAATAATTTGGGGGGAATCCAGGCTGGCACATACACGTAGGCTGGGCCCACCAGCCAAAAAAAATCTCATGTTCTTCACAGCAGTGGGTTCATGCTTCAACTCCGAGATTTAATTTCATTTTTTATTTTTTTTAAAAAGACTTTATTTATTTGAGATAGCGAGCGAGCACGAACACACGTGGGAGGGGCAGAGTAGAGGGAGAAAGACTCTCCAGCAGACTCTGTGCTGAGTGTGGAGCCCAACGTGGGGCTCGATCCCAGGACCCCAAGGTCATGACCTGAGCCGAAATCAAGAGTCAGTCGCTTAACCGACTGCGTCACCCAGGCGCCCCCAACTCCGAGATTTCAAATTTATTCTGCATCGTTGCCTATTAACTGTGTCCACGTCATTTACATTTATTGAATTTAAGAATCCAGGGTCTACGACACATTCTAACCTGATGTCAAGCTTCAGGAAGAGGGCAGAGAAGAACGGGCTCTTAGGGAAGGCAAGTCCTCTGACATCCAAGTGGACAATTGTGTGTTCCAAGTAGGTGCCCAACCTAGCCGTGTTTTGGGGAACTGCTTCCCCCACTTTCACTGGACTTTTAATTAGTAAAAAAAAAAAAAAAAAAAGGTTTAAGGTCCGAATACACAATTTTCCCCATGGAAGCATTTGTCCCAAGCAGCCCCATGCCCTGAATACTAAGTAAATAGGAATGAAAAAGCAGATAGACTCAGCAAGGAATTCAGCTTCTTGTTCTTTCCTGGGTCATTAAGGTGCCACATGAGGGCAGAACTAAGTCCTGGGTTTTCAACTGGCTCTCCCGGGTTGAAGCAAAGAAGGGGGGGCAGGGGGTAAAACGAGGCTTTCATCTGGCACGGTTACCTTAAGCATGCCTGTTCCCAGGCGCCTCTGATGGGAGAAAGTTCCCTTGAACTTTCAGCAGCCCCGGCAGCTCCATGAGTGGGTAAGGGACTGTGACTGTGCACTTGACCTGAGAGCCCTGTTCTCTTTCTCTCTCTCTGGCGATAGGTGGACACGGCTGGTTTTCTGTTAGACCAGGCAGAGTGCTTGTAGCCAAGGGCCATGGAGCAGTGAGATGTCCCAGGAGCAGGAATTCCGGAGGGACAGGCTGCCCAAGACTGGCAGGAGCAGGTGTAACGGCTCCCTGACCCGGCTCCCGTCCAGTGCAGGGCAATCAGGAGCCAGGCAAAATCTTGTTAACCCTTTGTGACCAGAGGGCAAAAGAAGGCCCAAGGTGCCACCTGTCTCATCCCATTCCTCAGCTTGACCTTCACCTCTCCACTTTGGCAGAGCCCTACGTGAAAGGCGTAGTTGTATTTCTTTCCAGTGGACGTATTTCCTGTAACCACCTATAATTCGCTTCCGATCAAGTTTAGAGGCAGATGTTTCCATAACTGATAATCTTATCTGGAGCTGTTCTAAAGTGTGACCCAGACGGGATCTTTCCAATCAAACGTCTGACTCATTGTTATACGCAATCATCTGTTTTTTATTTTAAAACACATCTACACTGCATTGAGCACCAACACAGATGTGACCAAGAAACCCACAGTCCTGTCCCAGCAGGTGGCGGGTCCAGTGTATGACTTGGGGCGGAAAGTTATTGTTCACAGTGAGAGAAAAAAAAGAAAGGACACGCAAGACAAAACGGACTTTGTCCCCAACTCCCGTTCAGGAATCTGGGCGATGAAATAGAAGGATATGTAAGCACACAAAGCCCTTCTAAAGCCCCTTCTCTCAATCAGCGGATGTTCAAATACGGACCCCGGGTTGGTGGACCAGCCAGAGTTGGGTAACAGAAGGGCACGCTGTTTAACATAACATCCCCGCGTTACTGCAAGAAAGAGAGGAATGGGCGGTGCTTTTCCAAAGGATAGTTTACTTTTTCGTACAAGTTGAGAGGATATCAGACCTGCACAACTACAATCATGACAAAGCACCTGCTCAGTATAAAAACTTTGTGTTTGGGAAAAAGAAGGCAGCTGAACTACAGAAAAGGTACTGAGCTGGATGGTTGCCCGCCCCATATGGTAGCGTGGGTTCCTTTACTCTGGTGATCTTTTCAATGATGACCCCACGGAAGTGTGTGGGATGTGTCACGGAGACAGAATTTCTTTTATTTTTTACGTCCAGTCTTTAAATTCCACCTGCTTTCTTAAAATTACTATCTTACAGGGTTATTTTTGTGTCCCACATGTTTCCTCTGAGGCAGAAAGTAATCAGGCCAGAGAGACACACAGGGTTTCCTTCTGTTTGGGGAACGCCATAGTGCTTGATTTCTGGAACATCTGAGCCTCAGGCACCCTTGGGCCTCCAGCAGTCTCCCTGGCATCCAGGGCTAAGACTTCCATATTCCAGAACAAAACAGCCAATCTGAAGGGCTTAGGTCCTGGGAAGAGAAAAGGCTGTTCCAGGAGCTCTGGCTCATCATCTGAGGGAAGAGGAGACGGCAGGTGGGAGCAAATCTCTGAGTCACCAAGTCATTGCTGGAGAAGGCAATAAGCCAGCCTAGAGCCTGCCCCATGACCTTATTGTGAGAAACAAAATCCCTTCTCCAAACCGTAGACTTCCTGTTTGTACTCTAACATGGGGGCCTTTGAAATGATTTATTTCAAAGGGCCAGTGAAAGGCAGTTGCTCATTACATATTATACAAGTTTAGATTTTCTACTTGATTATTCACATGAAATTAGGCTTCCACAACAGACCAGACTAGATTGGAATGTGTACATTTCAACAGAGCGGAGATTGCAGAATGCTGACGCCGCTCACGGACATGGTACTAAACTCAGGGACTCCATTGGTATAAATATTTCCAGACTTGATTGCATTTTAACAATAACAGAGAATGGTCAGAACGGAGACAGGATTATAATTTCAAGCATCGATTAAATTATATTTTGTCTTAGTTACAAATCAGTTTACATTGCTTTGCTCCATTTTCTATGCACTTTGTCTTTTAAATCATCTTTTACAAAATTTATATTTAAACGTATTTTCAAAAGACAAAATGCCTAGAGGAGCAAGTCTCGTGAATTGCCTTTCCCTGGGTTACTTTTGGCAGGCGGAGGGATCGCCATGGATTTGGAGTTGGGATCACCAAGCGATTTCCATGGGTCATCTCCTCCCACGCGCTCAGGGACGGGGAAGTCGGAAACTCTCTTTTAAAAAAGTGTTGGTAGAAGGGCACAGTTCTTCAGCACTTTAGGGCCTGTGAAAACAAAGAAAAAGGGGACTGTCACTTCTCTTACTGGCACTGTAAATAGTAATCGTGTGAGTCATGGTCCTATTGTCCTTCCATATAAATCTGGTAGTTCTGGAACCTGGAGCTCTTCTCCTCTCCCCGCTCACTCCTCCTGCATGCCTGGCCCTCACACAGCCAGAGGCAGGTTCCCAGGCTCTTCCAAGCACATAAATCTGCGACCGTATTGTGGGCTGTGTCCCTCGACCCCCAGTTATATAGCACTTGTCCTCTCTGCCACCCCCCACCCCCCCATTATGTATCATCTCCCCAACAGAAATAAGAAAAAGTCTTCCTCTGGTTATGAGTTTGGATCTTCTGAATTCTTAAGAAGGAGTCTTCATAAAGAGGAAGAACTCCTTCCCTTCATCAATAATCACTACTAGGAGTTCACTACCATGCATGTGGGTATGTGCAGGGCAGGAGTAGAGGGAGGGGACCCCACCACCAGGAGAATTCTCATGGTGAATGGTGCCCAGGCTCTGCAATGGATGCTCTGCTGAAGGCCCCCTCCCTCCCTCTGATGATTGGGAGCAGGGCAATTAGTTAACAAGCTGAAACTTGGTTTGGATTTTCTTTCAAGTTCCCTTAGTTGAAAAATTAGGACGAAAGGCCAAATTTGATTAGATCTCAACTTTTGAGACAACTCAAAAGCCATCTCTGGCTCTAACTCTCTTTTTTGGACACTTAGAAGGGCCAAGTAGATACCTGTTCTCCTGGGTATACTTCAGATGTAGTCCTCACAGATGTAAGGGGCTTCTGAAAATGACTTTTTTTTTAAAGTAAACTCTACACCCAACGTGGGGCTCAAACTCACGACCCCGAGATCAAGAGTTGCATGCTCCTCCCACTGAGGCAGCCAGACATCCCTGAACATGATCTTTATTTAGAGGTTTCAATTAGCTCAAAGGTTGGAGTTCTAGATATGACTGCTCTCATTTACCTACCACATGGGTGTAAGTTATTTACTTACGAGTACCTTCCTGACATTTTTCGAGCAACCACAATGATGATCCCACCGATGAATCCAATGGCTAGTAAGACTCCAACTATAATTCCAACCAGGGTCACTGTTGCCAGGCCATCTGAATGAGGATGGGAAAAAAAAAGCATGAGCCCCAGATAAAGGGTATCCTTGTGATAGAATGTGTCATTTATAAACAATACCACTGCCCCACAGAAGTTGGCAAATCATGTTCCAATTTGCTTCTGCTTATTCAGTGGGAGTTGACCTAAAAGAGATGAAACTTTGGGCTACTCTCATCCCCGCATATGAATGGAAAGATTCCTGGGTCTCAGGATCTATCAAGCATACCATTCATACTAGGTGGCTTCACTGTTAATTATTAGGTAACGTCTGTGTGCTGGATTAAATGAGCCCCTACTTTCTTCCTTCATAACAATAAACTGTGATACAACACCATTCTCCATGGTCGTCATTAAGTGACTAGACTCCTTTGTGGTTTGCATATTTTCAAATACAGGCAACTTTCTTTTTTCTCTTAGAAGAGATTTGAAACCTCTTCTCAGAGGGTTCTGTATTTCGCTCTTGTTGACTACAATCCAGGAAAGAATGTAATTCATCACAAGATTAGCTTCAAAGAAACTTTTTTTAAAAAACTCCCATAAAGGGCGCCTGGGTGGCTCAGTTGGTTAAGCGACTGCCTTCGGCTCAGGTCATGATCCTGGAGTCCCAGGATCAAGTCCCACATCGGGCTCCCTGCTCAGCGGGGAGTCTGCTTCTCCCTCTGACCCTCTTCCCTCTCGTGCTCTCTAATCTCTCATTCTCTCTCTCTCAGATAAATAAAATCTTTAAAAAAGAAAACTCCCATAAAAATACTTGATAACAAAATCTCGCCTACCTTTCTCAAGTGTTGTCTCTGTATCTTCATCTACTTTCTCTGTAAAGAAAGAGATACAATGATACAGAATTATTAGGATATAATAACTATAATTTAACAAGTGGCAAAAAATGAATTTACCCTAAGTGGAAGGTAGCAAGACACAAGCAAAGAATATAATTTCTTAAATAAATTGGATCAGAGGATTTTTAAGCAAGTTCTGACACGATCTTGTCTTCAAAACTATTATTACTGAATTTACAAATGCTTCTTCATATACCTATGCGTCTTTGGTGTATCTTACTTTTTTGTCAACTACTTTAGAGAGCAGAGTCAGGGAAATTGACCCACAGAAATGGGCAAAAAGTCTCAGAGGTTAGGGTAACAAAAGAAACCAAGGCTGTTGATTCTTGGACCAATATCAAGACCATAAAAAACTCATCCACTGTGATAAGGTTTATTTTGAAGAACTGTATTTTGAGAGCAATATACTCTAGTTCTGGAAGATGGGGCCCCGACTGTGATTTGTCTTGTGATATCAATTCCCTGCTTTATCTTTAATAGTAAAACTCACATCTTACAGGGCAGCGATATGCCCAGCTAAGTTTAATGATGGAATATACTCTTTGTGTTTCTGTCACTATCACATTAGGATTTCTCTCTGCCGCCAAACCTAGTCCAATAGTTACAATGTGAATATTCTCATTTACCTATCACATGGGTTTTAAGTTATTAACTTACAGTAAGTAAACAATGAAGTTGTGAGTCTCTTTCAGATAATTTTACACAATGCCTACTTAAAAGTAAACGTTTTTGGTTTGGTTTGGTTTTTCCCATCACCTTCTTTGCATACCAAGTCTTTAACTCCTTCGGGTGGTGGTCCTTTGCCTGGTTTGCAGATGGGGGAAAAGTTCAAGAGGCTTTCATTTAATGAGACAACAGAGAGAGTCAGTCAGTCAGGTCCCACCCTAGAACTATAGTTCACAACTTGCAAATACTACATATAACCAAGAGCTTTTCAAATCAAAGGTGAAAGCATCATCTCCAAGAGGCTTATTTTTCTAATGCGTGGATTGTTTTTTTTTTTTAAAGATTTTATTTATTTATTTGAGAGAGAGAGAGAGAGAGAAACAGCATGAGAGGGGAGAAGGTCAGAGGGAGAAGCAGACTCGCTGCTGAGCAGGGAGCCTGATGCGGGACTCGTCCCGGGACTCCGGGATCATGACCTGAGCCGAAGGCAGTTGCTTAACCAACTGAGCCACCCAGGCGCCCGCGTGGATTGTTTTTTTAAGACTTTATTTATTTATTTGAGAGAGAGAATGAGAGAAAGAGAGAGAGCACAAGAGTGGGGGAGCGGGAGAGGGAGAAGCAGACTCCCCGCTGAGCAGGGAGCCCGATGCGAGATTCGATCCCGGGACTCCAGGATCATGATCTGAGCCGAAGGCAGTCGCTTAACCAACTGAGCCACCCAGGCGCCCATCTAATGCGTGAATTTGAAAGAAGTCTTTGTATCAAGACTCTCTTCAAAAATAGGCACCTTTTCAAGATGACCCTATAGGCTAAGGATCCCTGAACACCGCTCTGCCAGCATGAGCTGAAGCCATGGCTCTGGGACATTTACATGGAGCTCAAGCTGATGGGGTTACCCCACCACAAAAAAAAAAAAAAAAAAAAAAAGGTTCAAAGACTGGTGGGTCTGAGGCCAGCCCGGAACAAATGTATCACGGAATTGCTCCTAAAAGGTCATCCCTTTGTCTGCCAACTACCAGTAGAAAAAAGCCAGTCGTTTGTTTATCGTGTCCTAACATGGCAGCTGCTGACTTCCAGACTTACGACACATCATTCTCACCATCAGTGACACCATTGATCAGAAAACATATTACCAAAAAATGTGGCAGATTCATTACCAAATTAGAGCTTATTAGTTCTATCCTCCCTAGCTCCAGCCCAATTATAACTGACTGTAGTCATGACAGTGAACATCATCATACTTGGGTGTTTCATGGGAAAGACATCTGCTGCCCTAATAAAATTACCTCTTAAAAAACCAAGTGCTTATAATTACATTTTAACTCACATGTGAACATTTCTTGGGACACTGACGTATTATGTGGAAATGTGCCATAAGTCACGCTTACTGTGACAGGGTGGGGCAGGAGACCGGAGAGGAGAGGAATCATGAGTATTTTCCTGAGAATTGAGAATTTTGTTTTAAAGGAATAAGAGAGGTATGCTAGTCTGATGGGAAGAATACTCAACTTGGGACACTGCATTTTCGGCAGCTAATGAGCTGTCCACTCATTTCACAAATGATCAATTCTTCTCCAAAATTTTGAAATGTTTTCCAATGATCAACTATATTGATGATTCTTTCTTTGCTTAGCCCTATTTTGTTCTATCTGGTGTTTAATTGTTCACCATTTCTTTAGCATTTCAGAGTGACCTTTCGACTTTATTTTCAAAGCACTTCATAAAGCTTCCCCCCCACCATTGTGGTAAAATACACATAACATAAAACTCACTGTCCTCACCATTTTTAGGTAGTTCAGTGGCATGAAGTACATTCACTCTTGTGCAACCATCACCACCATCCATCTCCAGGACTCTTACCATCTCACAAAACTGGTATCATTAAACACTAACTCCCCACCCCTATTTCCCCCCAGCCCCTAGCACCCACCATCCTACTTTGTGTCTCATGAATTTGACTCATATAAGTGGAATTATACAGTAGTTTTCTTTGGGTGACTGGTTTATTCCACTTAGCATAATGTCAAGATTCATCCATATTGTAGCAGGTGTCAGAATGTGCTTAGGGGCTGAATAACAGTCCATTAAATGTATACACCACATTCTGTTTATTCATTTATCTGTTGAAAGACATCTCAGTTGCTCTCATGTTTTAGCTATTGTGAATAAGGCTGCTATGAACACTGTGTGTACAAATATAGCGTAATTAAAAAAAATTTTTTTTAAATAAGCTCCACAAAAGGGGAACCCTCCTAACACCGTTGGTGGGAATGCAAGCTGGTGCAGCCACTCTAGAAAACAGTTTGGAGGTTCCTCAAAAAGTTGAAAATAGAGCTACTCTACAACCCAGCAATTGCACTACTGGGTATTTACCCCAAAGATATAAATGTAGTGATCTGAAGGGGCACATGCACCCCAATGTTTATAGCAGCAATGTCCACAATAGCCAAACTGTGGAAAGAGCCTAGATGTCCATCAACAGATGAATGGATAAAGAAGATGTGGTCTATATATACAATGGAATACTACTCAGCCATCAAAAAAAAAAATCAAATCTTGCCATTTGCAACGACGTGGATGGAACTAGAGGGTATTATGCTAAGCGAAATAAGGCAATCAGAGAAAGACAAGTGTCATATGATCTCACGGATATGTGGAATTTGAGAAAGAAGGCAGAGGATCATAGGGGAAAGGAGGGAAAAATGAAACAAGAAGAAACCAGAGAGGGAGACAAACCATAAGAGACTCTTAATCTCAAGAAATAAACTGAGGGTTGCTGGAGTGGTGGGGGGTGGGAGGGATGGGGTGGCTGGGTGATGGACACTGGGGAGGGTATGTGCTATGGTGAGTGCTGGGAATTGTGTAAGACTGATGAATCACAGATCTGTACCCCTGAAACAATAATACATTGTATGTTAATTAAAGAAAATTGTTCACATTATGCCTATGTATTTCAGATGTTTTTTAAATAAAGAGGTCAAAATATGTATATATAAAAAATGGTCTCCACATCCAGTGTGGGACTTAAACTCACAATCTTGAGATCAAGAGTCACATGCTCCACCAACTGAACCAGCCAGGCAGCCCAAATATAAAGCAATTTTTAAAAAACTCTCAAAAGTGCTATAGAGTTTTTAAAACCAGAGTGGTGATTGGATCTAGAAAAGTATATTGAGCGGTGCCTGGGTGGCTCAGTCATTAAGGGTCTGCCTTCGGCTCAGGTCATGATCCCTGGGTCCTGGGATCGAGCCCCGCATCGGGCTCCCTGCTCAGCGGGAAGCCTGCCTCTCCCTCTCCCACTCCCCCTGCTTGTGTTCCCTCTCTCGCTGTGTCTCTCTCTGTCAAATAAATAAATGAAATCTTTAAAAAAAAAAAAAAGAAACTTATATTGAACAATAAAGTAACTTTCTAGGTGTTCAGATGTGCCACTGATTTGAGGAACCATCGATTTAGGCAAGGTCTTTATGTTTACTTTCATTTAAGGATGGCAACACCTATCTCGATAAAATAATTTATATAAAATTGCTCATTAGCAGGGCGCCTGGGTGGCTCAGTTGGTTAAGTGTCTGCCTTTGGCTCAGGTCATGATCTTGGAGTCCTGGGATCAAGTGTCACTTCGGGTTCCCCGCTCAGTGGGGAGTCTGCTTCTCCCTCTCCCCCTCCCCTACTCATGCTCTTTCTAGCTCTCTCTCTCTCTCAAATAAATAAATAAAATCTTTAAAATTTCTCATTAGCAAGCATTCACTGCAGTTATCGTAGGATTAGTTTTTTTCCCGCTCCCATCCCATATACTACAACATAAGGCAATTTTAAAATAAAAACCCCAAACAACTGCATTTCTCTTAAGAAAGCTCTAGAATCGGGAGGCTATCTCCTTCCATTGTTAAGTTGTAAAGAAATCATAATGTAATGATTTCTCTTCATTTTCAGTGACGGTCTACACCTCAAATGACAAAGACCCAAGGCAGTGGTCCTTTTACACTGCTGTAGGTGCCAACTATGAATCAAAGTGTAGCCCCCAATCCTGGTAAGACTGGTTTCGGATAGATTCTTGTTCCATGTGTACAGACATGAGCTCAGTGTGAGATGGTAAATATCAGTATAGAATCTATTACAACTTACATAGGTTGGTCAAGGTTTCCGCTCTTGGGTGTCAACACAAGGTTCTTAGTGTAACATTGGATCAGCTTACCATCAGCAACATGACACTAGTAGCTAACTTGCCGTTGTGGGGACATTATCACTCGTTGTCATCCAAAGGGGAAAGCTGTGTTCAGCAACCCAATAAATCAAATTCAATTTAGCAACCCTATAAATTGAATTCTGAACCTAGCACACAAGGCTTGGTTCAGAACTCACTCTTAGCATTCCAATACGTGCCCTACTGATCATTAGATTTGTTCGTGGATATTTGTAATGTACTGATTATAGAAGAAGATCGACGCCTATCGGGGGCAACTGGTTTTCTTACCTACAGAGTGATGAGTCACTACATTCAAGGCTGTGGTGCTCTGGCTCTCTTCTCTGGCATGGACTGTGCTTTCTTGAGTCGGTCCATCCTCTAAGTGAAAGTCTGTCACACTCTCTGTATTTATTGGCACCTATTAGAGAAGGAAATGAGACAAAAGAGAAATAAAATCTAACGTTTTGAAATATATACTCAACCTGGGCGCCTGGGTGGCTCAGCGGGCGCCCGGGTGGCTCAGTTGGTGAAGCGACTGCCTTCGGCTCAGGTCATGATCCTGGAGTCCCGGGATCGAGTCCCGCATCGGGCTCCCTGCTCAGCGGGGAGTCTGCTTCTCCCTCTGACCCTCTTCCCTCTCGTGCTCTCTATCTCTCATTCTCTCTCTCTAATAAATAAATAAAATCTTAAAAAAATATATATATATATATACTCAACCTTATAACAGAAAAGGATTTAAAGCGCCAAAAAAACCATAAAATATATGATGACATCAATTTAAAGTGGAAACAAGAAAACAAAAAAACAGAAATGACAGAGTGAGGACAGGAATGACACCAAATGTACTCTGGAAATAAATATCAAATATTTAGCATGACTAAATTGACTAATCTAAAAAATTGACTTCCTAGGGTCATAATTCTTCAAAAAATACCAGGTCACTAGGCTTTAATTCTTTCTCTCCCTTGAACTTGAATGGCATTTTTTTTCCCTGTAACATTTATTTGGTACATATTATGTCGTATCATCTTTCAATGCCCTCCCTCCCCCAATTAAAGGAATAACTGGCTTTTATTGAGAGCTTACTGTGTGCAAGGCCCTTTAAAGACCTTCTCATTTACTCCATAAACAACACTGTAAAGGAAATCCTATTATTAGTCCTATAGTCTGAACGAGGCCTAGAGAGATTAGACAACATGCCCAAACTCACATAGCCAACAAGCAAGAAGACTTGGACGTGATCCTGTGACTCCAAAGTTCATGCCGACGTAGCACTCAACAAATATGCCAGTGAGCCCAGGCAACAAAAGCAAAATTAGATGAGTGGGACCACATTAAACTTAAAAACTTTGTGCATCACGGGCACCTGGGTGGCTCAGTCATTAAGCGTCTGCCTTCAGCTCAGGTCATGATCCCAGGGTCCTGGGATTGAGTCCCGCATCGGGCTCCCTGCCAGGCAGGAAGCCTCTTTCTCCCTCTCCCACTGCGCCTGCTTATGTTCCTGCTCTTGCTGTGCCTCTCGCTGTCTCTGTCTCTGTCAAATAAATAAATAAAATCTTTAAAAAAAAACAACAACAAACTTTGTGCATCACAGGACACAATCAGCAGAGTAAAAAAGCAACCTATGGAATGGGAGATAATATTTGCCAATCATATATCTGATAAGGGTAAGAAGAACTCCTACAACTTGACAACAAAGAATCAAGTAGCTTGATTCAAAAACGGGCAGAAAGGGGGCACCTGTGTAACTCAGTTGGTTAAGCATCTGACTGGATTTCAGCTCAGGTCATCATCTCTGGATCATGAGATCAGGGCCGACATCAGGCTCCATGCTGAGAGTGGAGCCTGCTTAAGATTCTCTCTCTCCTTCTGCCCCTTCCCCCTGCTTGTATGCGTGCACCGGCCCCCCAAAAAAACAAAACCAAAACCAAAAGCCAAACAAACAAAAATGGGCAAAAGGGCTTGCACAGACCTTTCCCCAAAGATGATATACAATGGTCAGTAAGCATATGAAAGATGCTTAGTATCCCTAGTCATCAGAGAAATACAAATTAAAACCACAAAGAGATCGTACCTTTTAGGATGGCTACTCTCAAAAGAACAGAAAATAACATACTGGCAAGAAGGTAGAGAAACTGAAACCATCGTGCACTGTGGGATCGTAAAATGGAGCAACCACTGTGGAAAACAAGATGGAGGTTCCTCAAAATAATTAAAAACAGAACTACCATATGACCCATCAATCCCAGTTCTGGGCATATACCTGATCGAAAGCAAGGTCTGGAAGAGGTATTTGCACATCCATTTTTATGGTAGCACTATTCACAACAGCCAAGAGTTGGAAGCAACCCAAATGTCTACTGACCGATGAACAGATACACAAAACGTGGTACATGCAATGGAATAATCAGCCTTAAAAAGGAAGGGCAATTTTCACATGTGCTACAGCATGAATAAACCATAAGGATATTATGCTAAGTGAAATAAGACAGTCATAAAATATCCTTGCATATGATTGCATGCCTATGGAGCAAACTCCACTCTTCTTGAACACTCACCAGAGCTGTTAAGCCAGACTCATAAGGCTCTTCACTGGTGCCTGTGGTCATCACGTTATCTTCTGCCCCTAGGGTCACCACGCTATCTTCGACACCTGGTGTTACGTCATCTTCTGGCCGGACTGTGCTGGCTAAAAAAGAAAGACTGGGTCAGGGCTTAAGGTAGAAATTGGATGACCTAACTGGCCAGCTACAATCGGATTATTTTCTTTACCATTTCCTTCGGGGATTTTTTTGGGGGGTCATCTTTCCAGCTTACCACAAACCATTCTCCTTGCTGCACCTGTGTCACATACAATGGCCTGGCGGTCTCCATAGTAAAGCAAAGAGGGATAAAAATACAAAACAGCGAAGCTGCCCCCCCTCACTGGGGCAGGGTGACAGGGGGATGTATGCCTTACCTTTTCAGTAATGAACCAGATTCTTCCTAGTGCCATTTCATATAATTCATACAATAGTGCATTCAGGTTAATAGAGTAACATTTAGGGGCGCCTGGGTGGCTCAGTCGTTAAGCGTCTGCCTTCCGCTCAGGTCATGATCCCAGGGTCCTGGGATCGAGCCCCGCATCGGGCTCCCTGCGCCACGGGAAGCCTGCTTCTCCCTCTCCCACTCCCCCTGCTTGTGTTCCCTCTCTCACTGTGTCTCTCTCTGTTAAATGAATAAATAAAATCTTTAAAAAAAAAAAAAAGAATAACATTTAAGGGCACCTGGGTGGCTCAGTTGGTTAAGCGTCTGCCTTCAACTCAGGTCATGATCCCAGGGTCCTGGGATTGAGTCCTGCATGGGGCTCCCTGCTCAGCGGGGAGTCTGCTTCTCCCTCTGCCCCTCCCCAGCCCCCTCACCCCATGCTCACTCTCTCTCTTACAAAAATAAATAAATAAAATCTTTAAAAAATATATATCATTTAGACCTGGAAACATTCTAAATTAGAGTCACCTGGAAAGATTTCTAAAAATTCCAATTTGCAGGCTCTATCTTTTTTTTTTAATTTTTTTATTGTTATGTTAATCACCATACATTACATCATTAGTTTTTGATGCAGTGTTCCATGATTCATTGTTTGTTCATAACACCCAGTGCTCCATGCAAAACGTGCCCTCCTCAATACCCATCACCAGGCTAACCCATCCCCCCACCCCCCTACCCTCTAGAACCCTCAGTTTGTTTTTCAGAGTCCATCATCTCTCATGGTTCGTCTCCCCCTCTGACATACTCCCCTTTTCTTCCTCTCCTGTTATCTTCTTCTTTTCCTTTTTTCTTAAAATATGTTGCGTTATTTGTTTCAGAAGTACAGATCTGTGATTCAACAGTCTTGCACAATTCACAGCGCTCACCGTAGCACATACCCTCCCCAATGTCTATCACCCAGCCACCCCGTCCCTCCCACCCCCAACCACTCCAGTAACACTCAGTTTGTTTCCTGAGATTAAGAATTCCTCATATCAGTGAGGTCATGTGATACATGTCTTTCTCTGATTGACTTATTTCACTCAGCATAACACCCTCCAGTTCCATCCACGTCGTTGCAAATGGCAAGATCTCATTCCGTTTGATGGTGCAGGCTCTATCTTAAACATACCAAATCAGAACGTCCAAAAGCGGATCCCATCTCTTAAAAATCAAGCTTGCTTTCCATTTAATTTTGAGACCGATGTCTCCTTGAATGATGAGGACTCTGAGGTCACTATCCATGGGGGAAGAGTCAGTAACGGTGCCAAGACACCCGACAGAAATCTTAGCGCACCGAGAGCTATGCCAATGAGGGACCTCAGCGCCCCTGGCCGGGGCTTTTCTGCATTAACACTGAATGAACGACCCTGTTGTACCCATGAGGAAGGTTTCCAGAGGGGCAGGAGATGGGTGGAGGGAGACAGCAAGTTGAATTCCACACGAAGGTGGAATTGTGCGGGGAACGGGACAGATAGCAACCGTTGCCCTTTCTTGAACCTCTGTCGCGATGATCCAAATGAAGCACGACCAAGCAAGGGTGTCATCTCAGCTCATCAAATAACCCTTTTCACGAGTTAAAAATCTGAGTCATTGGCCACGGGCTCCCTCCCCATACGCAGAGTGGCTCTGGAAACTATGGCTAAACAGAGTTGCAAACTAAGCAAGCATGCACATCCCAGGAGCAAGAGGGAGGGGGTGCTTGGAGACTTCCTTGTGTAATTAAAGAGTAGATGTTTGTATCCAGGCAGTGCTCAAGTCAGCAATCTAGTCCTTGCCTTAAGATACCTTATTTCTCTCTATGCTTAGAAAGCCCAGCCAAAGGCACAGCTAATAAATATTTGATCAGAACTTCTTTGCTGATGCATAGAGGGAGAAAGTCTCAAGAGTAAATTCACTGGTTCTGTGAGCCTTCTCTTTGCATCTGGAGTCCTAATCCAGTGCTGCCGATCTAGGGCTTTGGATGAGCTCCCTAAACATACGCATTTATTTTTTCCATGGGGGGGGCGGGAATGGCTTTCACCAGTTAGCAATAACTGAATACCTCAGTGCATGCAAATAGTTTGCCTCCCCTCCTGGTGGCTCGCTGGGGTGGGGGGGGGCAGCGATGGGCTCCCATCAGGATTTATGACTGTGGTGTTAGGCAAATGTTCAATGTATTTATCAAGCTCAAGGGGGAAATATACCTGTGTCAGGCAAGTAGTCCTTATTAAACACACACACACACACAACCTACATCCCATTTTCTTTTCTTTCCCTCCTGGTTTGAACAGTTAACAAATCATCAATTTTAGCAATCTTTTCTGGAGGCTGCTCAGCAAAACCATTTATTATATGGCATCCTCCAACTTTACAAAACAAAACACCCTTTTTTTTTTTTTTTTTTTTTGGAAACCAACATTTTATTGAGCTCTCCTCACCCCTCAGAATCTCTTCCAGCAGATTCTCTTTGTCCCGGGCATCACAGACTTGGGGGTGTGGCCAGCACTCCCCCCGCCCCACCCCGCAGGACCCCCACCTTCCGGATACAGGCCCCGGTACGGTGGGTTGGGGCCAGGAGAGCAGGCCCACGGGCAGTTAACCAGTAACGACCCCAGAGGTATAATGAATTCATTTCTCTTACAAAAAGGAAAAGAAAAAAACTAGTATGAAACCTCAGTAGTGTCCCAGCACTCAAGAGTTTAAATATAAAAAAGGGATCATCAGAAAACAGTTGAAAAGACAACAAAACCAACAAGGCCACCTCCAGGGTGGCGGTGGGGGGGGGGGCGGCCCCCCCCCCGCCCCCGCAGCGTCTGCGTCACTGGAGCTGGGGCCCCCAGCCTAGCAGCAGCAGCAGCAGCAGCAGCAGGGACAGCACCAGCCCGCGCCCTGCGTTGGGGGGCACCTGTGGGACGAAGGGGGGGACAGGTGGGGCCCTCCCAGCCAGGCGTGCTCTATCTGCAGAGCTTCCTATGCCTCTATGGACACAAGGAAGAGCCTGCGCGGCCGAGAGCAGGAAAACACCCTTGCTTTTTAAAAAGAAAAAATCAAGTGCTGAATGAAGCTGGTTCGAATTCTTTCATAGAAAGTTCAGCTCATTGAAAGCGTAATTTGATAAAAATTCCTTCTTGTACTTGGCCCACAGAGCCAAGTACTAAAATCACCCTGAATAGACAAAGGGTGTTTTATGAATGACATTCATGATTAAGATGCATAGCTTTTGTCTCACTGCCCTGGTATTCTTTTCGCTCCATGGGAAAGTTGATCTCTAACAAGAGATCTTCAATTGTCCCTCTTATTATTTTGGTGGAAGGTTTTCCTGGGTGAAGAGTTCCTACCAGCCCAGCAACCTGAGTCTCCAGCCAGCAATTAACGCCCTTTTCCCTTGACGGGTGAAATTCAAGTCCTGTATGGATGCCTCCATCTTCCGATTCTTTTTTCCTCCGAAGACACGTGTGTGCACAGGCAATACCCCCAGCTGTTTATGTAAGCACAGCGATGAACCTACAATAACAGTGTCCGTTGTGCCCCGAGTACCCTCATGCTCACGGGAACACCTTTTCCTGTCTCACCCAGCCTTACCCAGCGGGGAGGGGTGGGGGTCAGAACCATTGCAAGTTTCCAAATAAGGCAGCAACCCATCCATCTGCTTTGGAATTTGTGTGTAGGTGTTATTCTCTCAAGAGCTAGGCCAAACTTTATAATTAACCACGAGAAGATGTGATAAATCAATTTTACCTTCAGGTTCTCAAGTTTAAGAACAAGCAAGAACTGAAGAGATGTTTATTGGTTTGAAAGTGCTAACTGGGCACCACTTTCCTCTTCGCACTGAAGACTGATTTCTCTAAAATTATTCCAGTTTATGTATTTTTATGGGATCCCTTTCTTTTAAAATATTTTAGAATTTAGAACTGTGACTGTAATAGTAATAGTCCCAAGATCTTGATAAAAGTGTTTTAAATAAGGGTTTGCAATCTTCTGGTTTTATTTACATTCCAGATAAATGGTGATGAGTTGTTCCATTTACTTTTTGGCCATTAAAAAGGTCTTCTTCTTCTTCTGTGACCATTTTTCTCTTATGGTATTCATCTTTTTTATAGTTTTGTATGTGGTTTTTTTTAAGATTTTATTTATTTATTTATTTGAGAGAGAGACAGAGCACAAGAGAGGGGGGAGGGTCAGAGGGAGAAGCAGACTCCCCGCTGAGCAGGGAGCCCGATGTGATCCAGGGACTCCAGGATCATGACCTGAGCCGAAGGCAGTTGCTTAACCAACTGAGCCACCCAGATGCCCTTGTATGTGTTTTTTATACCTTAGGAATGCATTCTTTGTAAGAGCTGCCGCAAACACTTTTTTTTTTTTTTTGATGAGCTGGCATTTGCATCTTTCTTTTGGAAGTCCTGAGCTCATTCGCTAATCAAACATTAAGCTTGTTTTTCCCTTTGATGTCATAGGTACAAACCCTTGCTCAAGCTGATGTGAATATTCACCTAGATCGTCCTTATGGTTTTGTTCTTACACTGAATACTTGTATTTGTCTTGTGTTTCTTTTGAAGTGTGATGCAAAATGGGGATATAATTTGATTTCCCCCCAAAAGATTGACCAGTTGGTCCCAATAAACCCTCTTTCCCCCGCTGCTTCAAAACTAGCTCTCATTGAGACAAATGTCTTCTTTCAAATACCATGTCACAGTCATGGGA